TCCTTACCATTTCTTCTTTTTGAAACAGTCTCTACAGTGGGAAATAATACTTGTTGCAAGTTTCACATATGTATCCTTGCTGTTTTGCCAAAGGATATGAATGTGGATATATGTGATCTGCAGCATCATAATCATGGTGGGTTAGTAAGTGTCAGCATCTCAGTGCCTCCACATGTTCTGATGCTGGCTGTGCCTCAAACAAGATCACCCAGCAGAGAGGAAATAGAAAGGCTGAGATTCGGCCCGTGTTCCAATTGCCAACTTAGCCACTCAAAGGAAAAGATCTTTTTTCTAATTTACACAAATCCACCCTATAAGGAAACAGCAGGTCAGCTCCCGGCTGCCAAGAACAGATTAGAAGCTCTGTAGACTGTATTATATTTAATATGTAAAAAAACAATACAAGGTGTTGATTGATCTATGCACCCTATAGATATGAGAACTGCTGCTGAGAGAAGTGGAACCCAGCACCACCCGACCAATGCTTGGGCGTGTTGCATTTCCTAACCTGCCAAACTCACTTGTACTGTGCTTGTTTCTATTGAGTCAGAAGGCCTCCACTATACCTCAGGAAAGGTTTCCTAAGAAGAGGTGCTGTATCATCTTTTAGATTAAGTGGAAACAAGGTGGCTTCCTTATGGCTGTCCAGTCTGTTGTGGAATGTCATTGCGTATGATTTCCCTAAATCATTCTCAGGGCATCAATCACTGTGCACTGACCCTTCTTGGAGAAAAAAAAAATGGTATGTTTGCACCTCAAACTATGTGTTCAATGGGAAAACAAGGCTTCTTTTTGACATTAGAACTTATTTTGTGGCCAGGAAGAAAAACTAGCTCAACTGAAGAGGGTGGTTGGCAAGAACACAAGGAAGGTTGAATGTCACACCTCAGGAAGTGCAAGACGTGAACTCCTCTAAGCTTCATCTGCTTTGCGCATGGCTACTCTGGATCTCTCTCCTCATCTGCTTCATTTCATTTTTCTTGCATGCTTCCTCTGGGACTCTAATTCTTTGTAACTCTGTGTGCATATGGTCTGATACTGTGAGCCTCAATCTTGACATTAGAGAAGCTCGCACATCCACTTAAGATTTTCCCACCAAGACTCCTTCTTCAAATTCTCAACTTCAGGGGTCCCATCGACTTAGTCATCTTTTCCAAGCAAGACATTCTACTCAGGTGTCTTCTTCAATAATATTTAGCTGGAGCCAATTTCTTCATAGGTTTGGTGGAAGAAGAGGTGGGATTGGGGCATATGGACATGCACTCTGAGGTTATGAGAGTGGGGAGCCAACATTAATGGGCATAGCTTGGTCGTTTCCTAAAATAAAGTTAATACACCTTCCAGACTCTCTGGCTCATATTACACTAAGAAAGCATCTCTTAATAGATCCAATCCATGACAAAGACTACAACAGTGAAAGTCCTATTTTAAGGATGAAGCCTGAAAAGAAACAAATAAAAGGTCATGCCTATAATCCAAGCACCTTGGGAGACCAAGGCAAGAAGCCAGGAGTTTGAGACTAGTCTGGGTAGCAAAGCAAGATCCCATCTCTGCAAAAACCAAAAACATTAGCTAAGCATGGTGGTGGGCGCCTGTAGTCCCAGCTACTTAAGAGGCTTAGGCAGGAGGATCACTTGAGCCCAAGAGTTTGAGGCTTCAGTGAATTTTGATTGCAACACTGCACTCTAGCTCAGGTGACAGAGCAAGACCTTGTCTCTAAAAATGAACGAGAGAAAATAAAAGCAAAAGAAGAAATGAGTCACAGGATAAAGATGGAGATTTCTATAAAATGTTTGAAAAATAAATCTGGCTATCTTTATTTTTTGATGCTCCTTCCACTGCTACCCCTAAAAAAAAACTCTAGCCTTACTAGGATCAATTGCCAGGGGACCTGAAGTGCCCTTAGCCAATTACATGTCATGTCTGAAATGATTCCAGGCTCTACATCCCACCATCTGCTTAAAACCTTCCTTGTCATCTGGTCCCCTCTGCTGCAGATGCCTCTAGCCTGTTTCCTCCTCTTGAGTAGCCCGTGTAGATTAGCAATCAAACTCCAGACGGCCTCTTTTGCTCTGGCCTGGCATAACCCTAAACTGTAGCTTCTCATAGGAATTCTTACGCTCCACCTGATCATATCCAGCCTTGCCATTTCATCTTTGTTTGCCTAACATATATGAAACATTTACTTAAGTCAGGCACTGAGGTTAGTTCTTCTCCTGCATTAAACCCTTTTACTTTTCAAAAAGATGCCATATGGTAGCTCATATCATTGTCCTCATTTTACAGAGAGTAATATGAAGTTTTAGAGAGATAAAGTATATCTAAGATAACTCAGAAATGAGGGGGCCAAGATGGAAATTAAAGCCAGAATATGAAACTTATTTTCTTATGACCCACACTATATTGGGCTGTGCTGTAGACCAAGACAACAGCACCCAAAACTGATTGCATTTTCAGTATATAGGAAATCATGAGTCTGATTCCCCACTTCTCACATATTTGGATGTGGTTTGTACCCATCAAAAATCACGTTGAAATTTGACCCCCAACGTAGCAGAGTTGAGAGGTGGGGGACCTAGTAAGAGGTATCTGGGTCACGAGAGTGGATTTTCTATGAATAGATGAAGCCCTTTCTCCCAAGGGGTAAGTTCTTCCTCTAGAGGAATGGATTCATTTGCAAAAGAATGAATTGTTAAAAAAGAATCTGAGGCCAGGCGTGGTGGTTCATGTCTGTAATCCCAGCACTTTGGGAGCAGAGGCAGACTAAGACATTTGTCTAAGAGTGGTCTCCCTACATAGGTTTAAGTTTCTTGTGTGCAGAGGCAATTTAAAGACACAGATCGAGTTTTCAATATTTGTCTCATGGGACAAATGCCATATGTCAGCTTTCATCACCATCAAAGAAAAGCTGCCACTATGGAGAGAGAGAGAGAGAGAGAGAGAGAGAGAGAGTGTGTGTGTGTGTGTGTTTTCTACTCAGCTTCAAGCTGGTTTGCCTAGTATAAGGAGATTTAGAGTTGTTTCTCTCTGAAATTTAGACTAACTAGCAATGATTGGCCATCATCAAAGCCTAGGTTTTATTCCAGAGCAATTATCACTGTTACAAGCAGGAAATGTGATTATATGGCTTATTGTTTTCTTCTGATGATTAATTTATTTGGGACATTTGATGCTGCTGCTGATGATAATGATAATGATAATTTGGCATTATCAATAATAATAATAGTCATTATTATTTGGCCCTGCCAAAAATCTCTAAATTCCTCTCCTTTTCAAATGGAACACTATGTAGTGAAAAACATGGCATCTGTCATTTTCACTGAAAAAAATAAAATAAAAATCTGTCCTGTTAAGCCGTCTCAACTGAAAGCAGAATTTAATAATATGCTTTTTCTGACTGCTGGGTAATTGAAAAAGAAATAAAAATAAAAACTTTTAAAATTCTAATAGTAAGAGAGGCATACTTCTTTATCTCTACCAAGACCCAAGCCTTCTCAATGAGGTGATCTGAAAACTACTCAGGCCGCTATGCCCTCAGGTAGCTAAGGTGGATGAGAAAAAGAAACCAAGGATGGCTCTGAGCCACATTCTAAAATCAAGATGATGATCTGCCCTTAGCACCCTGTTAGCTAATTTCTATGTCTGGGCCAAGACCATTAGAATTGCCTGTATTCCTCTATCCCAGCACAAACACACAGGCATACACTGTTCCAGTTACCTATCACTGCTACTTGAAATTTTAGTAGTGTAAAGTGACAACCACTTTATTAGACCTCACACCTTAGTGGATCAAGAATTCAGACAGGCAGCTGGGCGCAGTGGCTCACGCCTGTCATTCTAGCACTTTGGGAGGCCGAGGTGGGCAGATGGCCAGAGCTCAGGAGTTCGAGACCAGCCTTGGCAACACGGTGAAACCTCATCTTGTCTCTACTAAAATATAAAAAAATTAGCTAGGCATGGTGGTGTGTGCCTGTAGCCTTAGCTACTCAGGAGGCTGAGGCAGGAGAATTGCTTAAACCTGGGAGGTGGAGGTTGCAATGAGCTGAGATCATGCCATTGCACTCCATCCTGTACAACAGAGCAAGACTCCGTTTCCAGAAAAGAAAACAACAACAAAAAAAGAATTTAGACAGACATTGACTGAGATTCTTCAGTTCGATGTTGCATTGACAAAAGTCACTTCTGGTACACAGCTGGCAGACACAGTGGTCTAGAGAGTCCATAATGGTTTTATGCATAGGCCTGACACCTTGCTGAGGATAGCTGGAAGGTTGGGTTCAGCGCAACTGTGGCCAGGAGACCCTACATATGACCTTTCCAGAATGGAAGCATTAGAGTAGACAGACTTTATGTGGTGGCTCATGGCCCTAAGCGTGACACTGTCAGTGAACAAGGAAGTCATTGTGTGTTTTATGTAGTCTACACATGAAAGTCACACAACGCCCCTCTGCCATACCCAATTGGTAAAAGCTAATATAAATACATCGGTAGTTCACAGTATAGATCTCACCTCTTAATGAAAGGGATATTGAGGAATGGGTGTCCAGGGTTTGAAATGGCCACAATTAAGTACACATATTCTTCTTTATTTCAAATCCCAAGAGCTGGATATAAGCAGGAAAAATGTCCCAGCAAAAAAGAGTCAAAGTTCATATCTTTTCCTATCTTACCTTCACGATTGAGTTCTTTCTATCTTTCTCAGTTTCCATGAAGAACATACAACATAAAGGATATGTGTAACTGAAGAGCTAGTCCGGAACTGGCTCTGCTAATTTTGAATTGTATGACATTAGGTGCAACATTTGCTGTTTTAGCCTTAATGTCCTCATCCTGAGAATGGAGATGAAAATACCCTCTCACATGTTTTTGTAAGAGCAAAACAGGATAATACAGGTCAAAATGCTAAACAGACATTACTGTTTTTATTGCTTTTATTAGATAGAAATTTGTTTATAATATAAATAGTATATCCCAACTTTAAGAGTAACAGGAGAGGAGATTTCCCCTTAACCAACGGAGCAATGTCTTGGCTTTCTGGGAAATTAAAGAAACAACAAACTTACCCTTCTCACATTTACATTTTATTTAATAGAGGATTTTTTTCATTCTTCCTTTCTCCTTGATGTTTTGTCTTATTTGAAATTTGTCAGGTACTGTGTGATGTAAGGAAATAGTCCTAAGAAGCAGTTTAGCTCTGTCGATGGTGAAGTGAGTCATTTCTCTTCTTCTGTCACTGCCCCTGTATCCTCTTAAACATTACAAGGTGAAAATTGAACACAGTCTTTTTGTGGTAACTCAGAGGGATCTCAGGCCTATAGAAAACAGGTAGAATAGAAAACAGGTTGTTAGACCAGTGAAATTTTGATCTTCTACCAAATCTTACAAATAACCAGCTGCTGATTTTTTCCTTTCTGTCATAGGATAGGGTACTTCTTTAGGAAAGAAATGAGTTTACCTGGCTCAGGTTCCAGTATGCCTCATTAATACAGGATGGTAAATGAAGGAACTAACAGGCTTTTGTGTAATATTAGGATTATAAGCTTCGGCATAAAACAAACCTGGACTTCAGTGCTGGTTCCACCAATCACTAGTTACATTACCTTGTACAATTACTAATTTCCTGAGCTTCAATTTTCTCATCCAAACAAATGATGAGGGTAGCAGCATCTTTCTCATGACGTTGCTGCAGGATAAATAAAATATGTCACTGCGCACTGTATCTGGCATGCAGGGAATATGCATGAAATCATGGTTAATACAATGAAAACATTGAAACCACTTTATTAGTATTTGTAATTAGTAATAATGACGTTTACATATAGCAGTTAAAAAACTTTATCTATCCAGAACTCATAGATTACTCTCATATTTTACTTAGCTCCATGTGAGCCTTGTCTTCTTTAGTTCCATTTTTCCCAAGGGCTTCCTGCAGGTCACCTGAAGGCCTTCTTTGAAGGGAGCTGTCCTCCTCAGTGAGTCAGGCTGAGCACAGAAGAGTGTAATTTCATTAGGCTGGTGCCTGGAACAGCAAGGCCAAATCTGATCATCAGATTACTCAGAAAGTCTGTCCCTTCAGAGACGTAGCCTGAGATCTGCCAAGAGAGGGCCTATATTGTTTTCTTTAAACAACAGCTTATTCATTATTGATAAGATCCAAGGACATCTCCGACATCCACTACACTAATTTAATAAAATATCTTGTTCACTAAAATGGTGGTGCACAGAATGGCTATTGATTCCAACTTTCACGTGGGGACAAGATAATTTCCTCTGAATGGGGATTTTACTATGATAAAACGAGATGAATGCTCAAGTATTTCTGTTCTTGGTCCATGGAGTCACAATTGCTTAAAGCAATCAGACATAGAAAATTTAAACACCAGAACACAAAGAAAATATTCCTTATGAAATTTCTGCAAAGGGGAAAATGGGCAAATACCAAGGCCTGTGACTCCAATTAGAACCCACATCTTCCTGCCATTCCCAAATTTAGTGTATCGCTAAGCAAGGAAAGACAGGGACACACTGTATCTAACTCTTTCTCAACTCTTGTTGGAAAGACTATTTGGCAGACCTGGGGAAAAACCAAATGTCCACTCTAAGTGGACACTTAGCCAAGAAAACCAATGTATGAGTCTATTCTCAATTCATTCAGAATCCAGTAGGATAGTAGGTCATTGTTTGTTGGACATCTTAAAATCTCTAAAACATTTTATCTGCCCCTCCTCTATTCTCCTCCAAATTCACTCATTATGGAAAATTACCCCCCAAATCGGATGTTTTCTTTGATGTATCTAATTCTACCCATTCACTCTGGTTAAAGAAATAGCTATTCTATTTGATACTGATACTGATTTTTCCCCAGGGAGAGAATGTGAACTGCCATCTTTGTCTATAAATCATAACCTCTTTTTACTCTGCCAACTCTCCCTCCCTGGGCCTAGTCTCCTTGCAATTCTTCTCTCTTTTTCTGTATCCTAGCATAAATAATTACATTTGTTCAAGCAGGAAGATAATTTTTTATTTCATTAAACCTTACTTTGAACTGGAACTTCCTTCGTTTATTATACCAAGGTTGGAGACCCTCAGAGCTCCCAGATGACCCTACCCCAGGATATTTCAGGCAGAAGAATCTCTTTAAGGCTCAGGACAAGTAAATGTCTCCTGCATGAAGCATCTGCTTTTCCCTTGAACAATCAGCTCCTTACAGTTTGCTGCCAAATCATGCAACTTATTTGAAAATGTGTATCATTCTGTTCTTAGTAGTGGTTTATCTTTCTGTTTGGAATTACTAAATTGTGAATTCCTTAACCTCAAGTGATATGTCATGTTTTCCCTTTAATCCCTGGAAATATCTGGCACAATGCCAAGAAGTATGTGCTAAATGTGTATTTAAAGTGAAAGTCTTTGGAATCTCTTGTTGCTATTTTTAACCATGCAACAAATATATACCACTGCAGAAAATTAAGAATATATGATATGAATGTAAGAAGAAAAAATAAAATACTATATTTCTTATATGCTGACATATTTAAGAACAAGTTGGAGAAACAGAATTTTATACTTAAATAAAACTTATAAACATTTCCAAATGTTATTTAGACAGGTAAAATACAGTAATGATACTCCAATGGAGTTATAAATAAATACTTATCATTTTCAGTTTTGCTACAGACTTCACTGAATGTCTTTATGTACAAAGGCTTTCTGAATTTCAGAATCAATTCCTTTGTATTTATTCCCATACTAGAATTACTGGGTTAAAATGACTAGTAATTGCATAATTGTTTTTTATAAATATTTTATACAATATTTACAGCAACTTCCTTTAATTGCTCTTTGACAATGGTTTTTATCAAATTTAAGTATGTTTATCTGTAAAGAATCTTTGGAATTATATCCAATTATATCAATATTTTCAAATTTCAGGGATGCTGGCATAATGAACAGTTTTGAAAGAAATAGCAAACAGCAGTTTACCTACACCCTTGGACTATGAGAATACTATCTCTCTCTGACACAAGGGGGTCAATTTTCCTACAGTGCTCTGTTTAAAAATTGCATTATCTAACTTTAGGGATCTTCTGCTGTAGTATAGCCCTAAATGTCAGGGATTGAATAGCCAGTGTAAATGCTAGTGTTCTGGCATCTGCCATTGCTATGAGAAAGAAACTGTCCATCATCTTTGACCCAGAAGTTTCCTATCTTCTCCTAGTACCCTAAATTAAACTCTGACTAGTTACTTGAGAGCTTGCCAGTAGGGTAAAACTTCAGACCCTTTACAGTTCTTGACATTTTTGTAAAACTTTCTCTGGTCACCACAGTTATTAATATTCAATGACCTCTTCCTCCTTTGACCATATAATATTTATGATTTTGACAATCATATTATGCATCAGTTGGTGCATGGGTTCTGAAACCAGATTGTCTTGGCAAAAAATGGGCTCCACGCCTGTAATCCCAGCACTTTGGGAGGCTGAGGTGGGTGGATTACGAGGTCAAGAGATTGAGATCATCCTGGACAACATAGTGAAACCCCATCTCTACTAAAAATACAAAAATTAGCCAGGCATGGTGACAAGTGCCTGTGGTCCCAGCTACTCGGGAGGCTGAGGTGAAAGAATCACTTGAACCCAGGAGGCGGAGGTTGCAGTGAGCCAAGATTGTGCCACTGCACTCCAGCCTGGTGACAGAGCAAGATTCCATCTCAAAAAAGAAAAAAAAAGGGCTCCAGCTCTTATATTGTAAGAAAAAAGGGCTCCATCTCTTATGTTCTAAGGGGCCTTAAAAAAGTTTCTTAAGTTCTTTTTACCTGTTTCATTGTCTCTAAAATGGTAATGACAACAGCATCTATTGCATAGGCTTACAGAGAGAAAAAAATTAATATGATTACCACTGCAGTGCCTGACAAGTAATTTTGTTATTGTACTGTTCTGTTGTTGTTATTGTCTGTTCATTTGCTTGTTTTGTATATATAAATTTTATCAAGCTCCAAGTTTGATGAGAATAGACAATTTTTTAATGTCATCTTTTCCTGCTCCTTCCTAATGTAATTGTGTATAGGTTTCTTTCTCTTTTTTTAATTCTTATAGATATCTGCTCAAGGCAAATGCTAAGAATTTTTTAATGAATAACAATACAAATAGATAAGCAGTGATTTTACTTAACTGTACATTAAATCCCATCTAATCTTTTCTTCCTTCCTTCTTTTCTTTCTTCTTCCTTTCCTTCAATGGATGAATATTTATTGAGCACCTAATGTATTATAGCATCTGGGGATACAAGATGAATGTGATCTGGACCAGCAGCAGAATCATGCGCAGGTGACCTGAATGTGGTAAGAATGGTGCTACACAGATGAAATAACACTGTCCCCTTGATCTAGCTGTGATCTAGCTCACAGCCTCCTGTGAGTACATGGAAGGAAGGCAACTGACCTGGATGAAACCAAGAGAGGTTTACACATATCTAGATCAAGGGGACAGTTGTTATTTCATTTCTGACCAGAGCTGCCCTAATGCAGTATTGCAGAATAGATGACAGGTGAAATTCAATGATTTGGAAACACTTTTCCTCTTGGGGAGAGAACTAAGTCAGCAATGACAGTGTTTCTTGAATGCAAGAGAGCTGAGGCTTGCCCAGCTTATTATTGTGATGCTTTTCCTATGCGGATGCATATCTTAAAAGGGAAAAACAAAAAAGAACAAAGTAATTCTTTTACATATTGTTAATATCCTATCAATGTCCACTTACTGAAAATTAAAAGTTTGAAAATACATTCAGAAATATTTTAGCTGAGTCAAATACTTTTATTTGGTGCCTGTTCAGGCAAAAACCAGGCAGTAAGCCACTTGTGGCTTAATTACTAAATCATATTAAAACAAGGCAATTTAATTGTGATTAGTGCTGTAATAATTTATTCATAAATTCCAGTATATGTATTTATTTCCTATAATTCATTACTTCCAGCCAAGGACTATGTGCGCTCCATTCAATTTAAAAGGACAAGGTCATTAACCCACAATCCTGCTTGCAATCGTGTTTTTAGATTGCATTCTCTTTGCTCTTTAGTTAGGATTAAATCGTTAAGTCCTCTTAGGTCACTTATCCTTAACTGTTTAATTTCTGTGTGATCACCTAAAGGCTCATATTTTTGCTGATAAAACAGGTGTGACCTGCTCAGAAAACAGTTGTCTTTCCCTGAACATCTGGTAGAGATCCAACATCGGGTCAATCCTCTTTAGCATACATTGGGCCCTATGATTAACTCCAGTCATTGGTGGTTCTGAAATTGTAATACATATCTGCATTTTTCCTGATTATTAAAGTTTGAGGACTTTTACCGAGAGTATTTAATACGTGAAAAACTGCACACACATCAATACTGTTTTTCTGCGTTCAGACTGTCCCCTACTTTTGGGTGGGCACAGATGATTCACTGAGCGTACAAGTAATGAATGTGAAATTGTGGAGTGAGACTTTCCAGGCTTCATATAGACAAAAACATATGTTTTACAATCAGAAAATGTACATAACACATAGTCCAGGCCAGCCATCTACATATCTCTCTGAGTATTTTGTTTGGAGGGAGTAGATGGCTCTATCCAAACCCATCCCTACTGCTGGTTGATTAGCTTGCATGGTGGTAGAAGCAGGAAAGAAATCCAATTTATTAAGTTTCTCTTACCAGCATCACAGGAAACTTTGAAACGGAGGTGTGAAATCCAGGAAAATTTCCCAATTCTTCAAGAGAGGCACACGGAGGACAAAAGTGAGACATAGATACAAAGTTACTTGCCCAAAGTAGCTAGCATGGGATTAAACCTAGGTTTCTAGAATTCAAAAACTCAGTGCACTGTACCACATTCTATCTTTCCCTTTAGCATTAAGATATGCAGAACAAACAATCACTATTCCGAAAACAGTGAAGCTATTTTAATATTAACCACATTTGCCTCTTTTTTTCTGTTACACCTTCTTGCTATTCTCAACTAAACATGAAATTTCCTGAGAAGCAGGAAGAGAAACTGTAAGGTCGTCAGTACCATACAATGGTGGTGTGTCCCGGAGATCGCCCCTTTAGGACTAAATTATCCGCTAACCCAACTTCAGAGAATATTGCTGCTGGTGGATATCAGCTGAATTTCTCCCAAGAAACTATCCTTGCCCAAAGAGAGCTGCTTTGCCCATCTTCTCTCCGTGCCACCTTCCTCTCACCTCTAAGGACAAGTCAATGTAGAGATACAAAGGTATGGCTCTTGACTTAATTAGGGATATCTTTGAAGGGGCATCTCAAATTTATAGCACTCTATTTGATTAGCTGAGGCCTCTATTATGACTGGATTAAAGTTCACCTTTCACTCGTTTCTGTTCTTACATCCCTTACTTCCAAATAAAACACCAGCATGCCTACCTGTATCTCAAAGTCTGTTTTGCAGGAAACCTGACTTGACACTTGGAGATGTAAATGGTCAAAATGAACATTCTAAAACATGGTGAAACCCCGTCTCTAGTAAATAATACAAAAAATTAGCTGGGCATGGTGGCGCATGCCTGTGATCCCAGCTACTCAGGAGGCTGAGGCGGGAGAATTGCCTGAACCCAGGAGGCGGAGGTTGCAGTGAGCCGAGATAGCGCCATTGCACTCCAGCCTGGGTTACAAGAGCAAAACTCCGTCTCAAAAAATAAAAATAAAAATAAAACGGTATTTTGGAGCACGATCACCCACTGGCTGGTAGTAAAAACTCCATTGTCAATGAAAGATGGTGTATCGTTAGCCCCTTTTGCAGTATGGGTCTTTAACTTTGACCAGTAGTGAAATGGGATGGGACAATTGTGAAATGAAGAGCACCAACAGTTCATTATCCTCGGTACTTGAGAGGTACAAGAAAGTAGTCATTATAGGACAATAGAAATAGGATGGCTATGTTCAGAGTTCATCAATGTATTGAAGAAAGACAATGAATGAAATGTAAGGGGCTATTAATCACCTATTTAAAGACAAGGGTGATTGGTTTTGCAATCAGAGGTTGGAAAAATCTCAGAGGATCAAGTGCAATACACAGTTATATGGGAAACAGAAGTCCAGAGAAGGTTGGCTTCTCAAAATATTAAGTCTGCTCTGTTAGACAGAGCTCTGACAACAAAGGAGTAGCAAGACCCTAAGAATAAAGATCAGATTTTTTGGGTAAACTCACAAATTAAGGAGTGGTAAGACCCTGAGAATTGGGATGGGGTTATCTGGATAAATTCTTAAATTTTGAATCCCTACAAATCCCTAAACGGGACCTGCAGAAGTGGAACCTGTCAGAAACTAGCATTCCCATTGTTTGAAGAGGCCTCTGACTTGCAAGACAATGTAAATTTCCCTTAAGAATCCACCCTCGCCATCCCTACTGACCACAAGATAACAGGTAGGATTAAGTCACAACATAAACTAGCCAGGAAAGCCTTCATTAGCCCCACAGAGCTGCAGGAGCTACTAAACCAAGCCAGATTCTACTGGCAGTAGGCAGAAGAGTATGTGAGACTGGATCCTGAAGATTCTTCACCTAGGGAGAAGAACACAAAGGTAGACAAGAATAGGTTACTGATGTATGAGCACTGTCCCAAAATACAGGATTTAACACCCAGCAAAGACTCTTGGTGCAGGTAGAATAGTTCTTGAAAGCTTTGACAGGGAGATGGCCCATAGTAATTGAGGGGAAAGTGCCAGACCTGCAGAGGTAGGTATTGGAAGAAAGGATTACAAGGCTCAGAAAAGTGGAAATATGAGAGTGTCTATACTATGACAGGCCAGTTGGATTTGTTCTGTGAAATGGACACAGGACGTTGTTCCAAAGAAATAGGAATGTGCTAGCGAGAGAAGCCCAGAATCACTGAGAAACTCATAATGACTGTCAGGGCTAATGAAAGGAGGTGTTGTTACGGAACCCAGCTGCCTAATAGCAATGAAATGATAGGACACCAAAATGGCAGGAGCCGGGTTGCAGTGCTAAAACATCAGGAAGGTGGACACAAAGATCATGATGAACCTCAGAATGACAGCCAGAGCAGGCTACCTCATACAGAACTTAATAGAACATAGTATTTTTCAGGAGCAAATATAGGCAGGAAATAAGGGCATTGTTCAACCTATACAATCAAAAGAAGTGAAAAATAAACAAGAGACTAAGGAATATCACCTTAGTAATAATATCACAGTCCTTTGCTCAGTGTAGGGAATGGAGCCAATTTTCAGGAGCATTATACGTTGATTGGTGAAGAGACCGTGGCCTCAGCTGAAAAGACCACGTAATATTACAAAAGTAAATAAAGTAAAGTAGTCCTTTGGTTCCAAAGAGACCTAAGATTACAAATATTGACTATTTTTCACTTGGGAAAGGAGAATATCAAGAAATTGTGAGAAATGTTAAACAGAACGCAATTTGACATTGAAATCCAGACATGAGAAACATCATTATGGTTCTTGTGCTGGGTCATAAGTGAAATTCTGGCTCAGGTCCAGCTTACATCGGGTCCATAGACACACCCAGTGATCATTCCCTTGGTCCTCAAACTTAGAGTCGGCAGGTACACACGTGGTTTGTTGGCAGGACCTTCCACTGATTAGCTGGCATATGTGGCAAAGGCTGTTACAGTGGGGGAAGCCAAAATTTAAAATTAAAAACAATATTGCATCCTAAATAAAACCAGGACTATGATAAAGCCAGGGAAGTACACAGGACACAACATTCAAGAAAGCATTCACCTTCAAGCTCATGCATCCTAGTCTTGGCCCTGATCCTGAGGCAAGGAGCAGAAATTAGTGGCATATTTAAAATCCTAAAGGATGAAGGGAGATGATCCCATTTGGATCCATATTTAGTAACCCTACCACAAAGTCAGATGGACATAGGAAGATGACAATGAATTATTGCACACTCCAATATGCAACAGATCCTATTGCAGATACTATGCAAATGAGGTATCTTTCCTAAAATAGGTTGAAAAGGCCTCAGATGCATAGTATGAGGTTATTGATCTGGCAAATGTACTGCACTCCATCCCCACCAAGGATGAGTACCAGAAACAAGTTGCATTTATGCAGGATGAATAACAGTATATATTTATATTTATCCTCCATGGCTATGTTTATTCTCTTGTCATCTGGTACAATAAAGTCTCACATGATCTCTACTACTGAGAGATTCTGCATAACATCATGTTGTTCCACTATATTAATAACATTGTGTTAATCACAGCAAATGATCAGTAAGTAGAAATTAGATTGGAAGCCTTGGTTAGACACATGCACTCCAGGTTGGGAGGTAAACCCTACAACACTGGAGTTTTTAGGAGTCCATCGTGCTGAGTGTGACAGAATGTCTGCTCCAAAATAAACTATCAATTATTGTTTCTTGCATCTCCCACTGCTAAAAGACAAGCACAACCTGATAGCCCTCTTTGGGCTCTAGAGGCAGTATATTTCACACTGAACGAAATCACTTCAACTTATTTACCAAGTGACACAAAAGGGCTACCTGTTTTGAGTGGATTCTAGAGCATACAAAGGATGTGGTACAGGTTCTGACACATTGTCCTTGATAATACATTTATCTGTGATAGGAAAAATGCCATGTGAGTTTTATGTTCAACCTCAGTAAAAGAACTAGAATGTATTGTAGATGCGCTATATTTCTTGAGCTAAGCCATGACATTGTGTGACTACATGGCCATAACCACTCATCATGGACTGACTTCTCTTTGACACAGAAATTCATGAGCTTGGGCATTATTAGGTAAAAATAGTGTCTCCAAGATCAGGCAAGAGTAGGGCACAAGTTTGCTGATCAGTGGGGCTGCCTGGACACCCATGTCATCTATCACTCTTACTCTCTGCCAATATCTACGGTAACCAGCCAACAAATGCAATGAAATGTTGGATGTGATTCATGGGTGAATTAGCCCAATATGTTCATGCATGCTGAAAATAGATGACAAATGTACTACAGACCTGGAAGAGTGGCCGTAAAAGATGGCAGTGAGGGGGAAATCATTCTAACTGGCAGACCCTCAAGTGCAATACTTCATAATCTGCTTTTGATGGGAAAATGTGGCCCTAGATATGGATGTATAAACTCTTGAACAAAAGAACTTAACTAGTTAGTCAAGGACCTAGTAAGAGAAAAAGTGGAGGATCAGAGACAAGGACCTCTAGGAAAGGGGCTTATATTAGACATTGTGGAGTGGGCAAGAAATGTGAAGATCATTGTTGTCACATGCTAATATCCACTGGATTGCATTCACCATAGAAAAATTTCTGAACAATCAAGTAAACAAAACAACTCAGCTGGTTGAGCACACTAATGCAGGCATAAATGCTGCAAGGATTGAGCAGCTAGCTACAATAGCAGGAATGGAGGCTACACATGGCCCGACAACATGGGCTAGCAGTCACCAAGGCATGTCTAGCTCTTGTCGCTGCCAAATGTCCGCCTCCAACTGAAAGAAATAATGAGTTCCGATATGACACCATCTCTCAATGAGATAAGCTGTTCACATGGTGGCAAATTGATTCTATTGGATTCCTTCCATCCTGGAAATTACATAATTCATCTTGACTGGATTTGATACATATTCTACATATGGTTTATCATTCCCTGCCCCCAGAGCATTAGCAAGCAAAATTATCCAAAAAACTTACAGAACGGTAACGATTCTGTGAAGCTGTGGCCTGTAAAGCCTGAACGCAGTTCAGGAAT